ATTTCAAAGGGAAAGTCTTGACATCCTTTTGATAGAAATGCTTACAGACACACATGTTACACACATGGAGAAGTACAATTGTTAGTTTTTCAGTTTCTCCCCCCTAAAGAACTGTTTGTGAATAATGTGTTGATATTGTACATTTACATCTGAATACATTTAATAAAATGATTTTAGAATCAATAGTGATGTTGACTTAATTTGTAGTTTCCTACGACATTTCCTACGACATTTCATAATGTATATATTTTGTATTGCTTGAGTATGTTTTCAGTTGACGACATTCACAGTAATTTTGAAGATCATATGTTGGTGTCTGAACTTAATAATTTAGCGAATAACTGTAAAATAATCGTATTTTCCTGCAGAATTTTTAGGATTGTTCCATTATTGAAGGTGAATAATCATAATTCTTTAAAATCTGTAAAGTAATAGTATTTACCTGCAATATTTTTACAATTGTCCATTTATTGAAGGTGATTGATCATAATTATTTGGGGAAAATCTGTAAAATAACAGTATTTACCTTCCGAATTTTTAGGATTTTTCCTTTATTGAAGGTGATTAAACATAATTATTTGGGGAAAATCTGTAAAATAATTGTATTTATCTGAAATATTTTTACAATTGTCCATTTATTGAAGGTGATTGATCATAATTATTTGGGGAAAATCTGTAAAATAACAGTATTTATCTGCAGAATTTTTACGATTATCCGTGTATTGAAGGTGATTAATTATTATTATTTGGGGAAAATCTGTAAAATAATGGTATTTTCTTGTAGAAATTTTAGGATTCTCCCTTTATTGAAAGGGATTGATCATAATTATTTTGTGAAAAATCTGTAAAATAATGGTATTTTTCTGTAAACATTTTAATAAAATTTTCTGTTAATTTAATGTTTTTACACATTGTTTGATTTAGGGTATTTTACTTTAATTTTACGGTCAACGTTTGGCAGCCGTAGCTGCCAGTCATTGACCGTTTTTTTACGATTTTTTTTTTTACAGTGTAGTAAGTATTCTTACTATTTTTCCAAGGTGTCATTTAGGGATGTTCCCTTTGCAGCAAAATACGACCATAAAGGCCTGATATATTCATCCTCCTCTGAACAGTTGATGTCGAGATCTGTCTGTTACTTGAACTCGAAGCATTTATTTGGGCTTAAATCTGGGTTGTTGTCAATATTGCTGCTTTTGGAGTTTGGTATTCCTGATGGATTTAACCCCAGCAGCAGAGCTAACTCCAGGTAACTCTTCTTTTGTGGTGGTCTTTATGAGTGCCAGTTTTCTCATTTCGCGAGATGGTTCTTGCAACTGCACTTCGCGTTCCTTTCAACGTTCAACGACATTTTCTACAGACATAACGTGGGTCTTCTGTATACCCAACCTATCGTGTTGTCTCAATTCATTACACATTAATGTGCAGGAGTCCTATACAGTAGGACTATGGCTTCAGACGGAGAATTTAGCGCATCTTCAGGACCCAGGGAAGCTGGCTGCTGACTCTCCTCCCCTCCCCTGCAGATCCGTGTGTGCTGCCTCTCTGTCTCTCCTCTCTCCTCTGTCTCCTCTGCCCTGCACATAACGGTCCACGGACCCACATCTTTTCCAGGACTAGGGCTTTTTCAAACAACTCTGATTGGGTCTCAGGTTGCGCTGCACATTTGCAGGGAATAACAACAATATCCGTCCTCTGAATTCGTCCCACTGGCAGATGAAGGTTTCGTGCTCCGTTGCTATGGTGTTTGCGCTGTAAGGTGACATCTGTCCGCACAGGAAAGTTTCCCAAATGTGCTGAGGAACATGGACCCATTTCACCGTTGAGTTTGACAAGCGCACAGAACAGCAGAAAACTGCAGACATTGCGGAAGTGGGTGAGTTGTCATTTAATCACGAGTTTAACCTGTTGGTTTATAGGCATATTTGTATAGAAGTAGAAATTGAGTTTTTATCGGTATAGGACACTATTTTACTGAGGCAACCGCCTGTCTTTAGGAAATCCCTTCATATAAATCAGACCAAGCGAATGCATTGTTAAAAATGCATGTTGCAACGAATTAATATTATATTTCACATAAATATATGCCATATGTTTAATGCTTACACCGTCAACCATGTGCACGTGTGACCAGTATAGTGGCTTATATGATGCTGTGGTTGCTGAGATACTGGGATGAAGCATCCGGACTCTTTACTGATTCTGCATCCGTGCTTCTACATCGCATTAAACTTTAGTTGTTGTGAGATATCCGATATCTGATCTGAAAGCTGGTACTAAACTGGTCATGTAATGCCAGTGTCAGAGTGCGTGTGGTTTTGATCCTTACTTTTTAATTATCCGAGTTCATAATGTACAATGTTAATAATTGATGCAATGGAAAACCCGAAAACCCGTTTGCATCTTCCATATCAGTCAATGCGCTCCAGCACGATGCCACTGTGTTCATATCAGTGATAATCTACATGCATAGGCTTTATAACTTTAACCTGGTCCCATTGAGAGTGTACATATATCTATGCACGAATAGACCTGGTCTGAGATCCGCTCAACAAGCTGCACTTCATATAAGGGAATGAATAAAGGGTTTCTCCCAGTGGGGCGGAACGTTTCCCCACCTGTCCACTTGGAGTGTCACATGCTGTAATAATGCATGCATGAACATTATATGTATTTGCTCTTAACAGATTCCAATATATATCATATCTGATTTCAGATGACTAATAATGTTCTAGTTAGGGCATTATTATGTCAGTGACAAATTTTGTTGAACATACCCCCAGGAATATGCAGTCACTTGCATTAGTATGCAAGTGTGTTTCTGCATTATGCAAATAGTTCATTTGCATCATATTAAATGCCTACATGTCATAGTCCTATGCATTTGTTTCATTAGGCTGTGATTTGCATGACCACATCAAGCATGGCTGTCCGCCACATTGAAACCCACGGGTCTTACAGGGAATTGCTTTGGGGGGCCGGAGACAATCAATGCAGTGAGCTGGTTTTTCTTTAGAAAGACTTGAATGGAACATGTAATCTCACGATGTCAATACCCGCACCGAGCATATGGGTTCCTCAGAGGATGTTTGGGATACTCGTTTCATATGAAACCATAACAACAATTATTTCAGTACATGTGGTTCCCTTATTATTTGCTCTTTGAGTGATCATAGAAACGTAGGTGAGTTATATTGTTGTATACTTTTCTACTACATTGAATACTTGTACAGGATAGTTTTCTTTATTGTGTTTCGCTATGCCATTAAATTTTTAATAGGATTCTTACTATCTTTTACATGAAACACTCATACTGGGCCTTGCTAAGTGATGACCAGTGGTTCTTAGTCAGTTCACTTCTCAGAGACCCCTTCTGCAAATAGATGTGTTGACTTAATTTTAACAAACAAACACACATATCATATCAAATCAGTCCTCTGTATTTATTTCACAAATAAGTCATTTTCTATTAGGGAAAACATGAACATATCAAGCCATATTTCCAGAGGTGTAGGTCTCTCGATTCCATTTCTCATTTAATACATAACATGAAAGAAAGAAGAAGAATTCTTTGACTGTCCTGATGTAGAACCCACTACTGGTTCCTATAGTTTAACATGTTGGTTCACTGTTATATAAAGGAGGAACAAACAAATGACCAACAAATGATCCAATTCAATGATATCCAGGGTCAAAGCTTACACTTATACGTTTTCCCTAAAACCAAAAACAAAACCGCTGGACGGGATTTTGCATCCCACTCTTTTTTCTTTTTTGTCCAGAGCTGCTTTTCTGGGGCCCATTTATCCTTCCCCTAATTGAGAATTGCAGACAACTACAACTCGTCAAGGGCCTTGTTTTGCAGCCCTCGACCAGGTGTATTTTTGTGAGGTAATCGCTTGACACTGATGCCGTACAGTGAGCATTCAAGCATTGGACAATGTCCCACCAAGAATGCAGGCTACTGCTGGTTGCTAGGCGTCTGGGACGGCACGTCGGGCGAAGCCGGAGTTCTGGTGGTTTTTCGACATCCACCTGTCAAGGCCAGATTAGAGACATTTTCTGCATCTCCATCCCGGGGCTAAATAGGACACAGAGACGGGCAGTGGGTTCTACGCCTGAGGGCGATTCATTCAGACTAACAAAAACAAACTGGGAGCATGGCTTGGGCGTTTACTCCAATACGTGTAGATCTAACGGTTTACCAAATTTCATAGCCGCTTCGATTTTCTTTTAATAGAGGCTGGTGTGGGTTGTTGCTGACTCTTCTGGCTGCTTCCAGCATATTCCGGTCTCTCCCATGCTTTTCTTGTGTGAGCTCTCCATGGTCCTGCCCTCACTTGGCAGCAGCACGCCACAATGTGTACGCATCTAAACGGCCTTCAGTACTCAGACCGCTTCACTTTCTTCGCATTTTGTGGAGTTTTTAGACTGAATTTAGAATTGACTAAGAAAAACACGATCAAACGATTTAACACACAATTCCCCCTTTTACTGTAAAGGGTCTAGACAAAATGCATGACGTGCCATCTAGGGGACTCGGAGAGCATGAGGAAAAATATGATCTGGTCTCATGTGATTGAATTCAAACTATTAGGCCTAAATGCCAAGTACTACGTTTGGCAAAAACAAGGTAGTGCTCATTACCCGGGCCAATGCTATACTGAGAGGTTCCTAAAGAAAACTTGATTCAGAGCGCACAGAACCTCAGTACCTCAGACTGCGGCAACGATAAATATTTTGGCACAAAAACGAGTCAAAGCACACAACCAAAACCACACTGGAGCGGCCACAGAACTGTGAATATTTTTGAAGGGCCTAAACAAATCTGGACTTGATCCCCATTGAGCTCCAGTGAGAGATCTGATGATTGCAGTTCACAGATGTTTCCCATCCAATCTGACAAAGTTTGAGAGGATCTATAACGAGGAATAGAAGAAACTGTAAAAAATCCAGGTGTGCACATTTGGGAACAAATTCTCATTTGCAACAGCGACCCGGGGAGAAGCTGGGTATTGAACCCAGAACATCATACATAGAAAGCATGGCACTCTACCACTGAGCTACACCAACTGCCCCATCAACTGCAAAGAAGACTAAAAAACTTTGATATTCGCCAAAGGCTTTACAAAGTACTGAATTAAAGGTCTAAATACTTATACATATTAGATTTCTGTTTCCAAAAATTGGAACACATTTTATAAAACTTTCAGAACACTGAATGTTTTTATACAGAAACGCTTAATGCATCTTTAAAAGGATATAAACAGATCCCACTGGATTTCAGAAACGGGTTTTACAGAACTATTCTCCATACAACAGCTACAAGGAACCACAAAATATAACATTGTCCTTAAAGGGCTTAGAACCCATTTTCGGTGCTAAAGATAACCTTTATAATAGTTCTTCATATAACCTTAGGAAAGACTTATTTATGTCTCCGTAGGGGTTGAATTTGTACCCCTGTGATCCTCATTCTACATCGAACCTTTATCGCAAGTTATAAATAATGTGTTTTGTTTTTTGATTACGATGTACAATATGAGCTGCCTTCGATCATGTGCACCGTGCGAAATCCATGAGGTGTTGAGCGTTGCCGTGCTGTGGGGTTGATGTTGATGTATATGTCATGTGATCGAGGGCAGATCATTACTCTTTGTCTTATGTGCCGCAGTGTATCTAACTATGTTACCGAGCCGGCATTGTGAGGTATTACCTCGTCCCCCAGGGGACCTTGCCCTGGCACCTACATTAAGTTACACTACGGCTCATCATATACTGTATTCATCAAAGTGTGTCTGTGAGTTCGTTTTAATTTATTCGCGCTGACGGCGTATGCTTTAAGGATCTCTGTTTTCACTGAGTTCACTTCGGAGAGTGCCGGGGTGTTGCCACTGGTAATCCCGCTGCACATATTCCTTCTGGATTGGGATTAAAACATGGCGGTGGGAATTTTCATGGCCTGGTCGACCAATCAGTCAGTGGTGGAATTCCTGGTTTTCTGACCATGGTCTGTTTCCGTGTGTAATCAGGACCCTGGTGTGATCTTAGAGCGGTGTGTCACTCACTTCACTGGGTTCAACACTTCGGAGGCACTTTCCTGATTGATCCAAACGCTCGCAGGTCTACAGACCTGAACAGCCGTTTCCTGTTTTCCATCAGTCGATCCGTATGTTCTTCTTCTTTTCGTTCTGCTCTGACCTCCACCGCCGTCCGGTGAAAACTTGCCTGTAAATCTATCCCTGCTTTCCTGCCAAGTCGAGACTTTGCTGGTGATGAACGAGTTACAGTTCCCTTTGCCAGAACGTCTAACAAACATTTATTTGAAAGAAAAATGATTTATTTATCCACAAATCCCAGACATTGGGCAAAGGAACTACATAAATCCATGAAATGTTAACATGAGGTACTTAATCAATGTGCTAATAAGTGTTTGCATCTTAATCACACATGTTCTGAATGCAAGATTTGTCAATATGCTATGTTCAGCCAATTTCCAGGTCAGGTTTGAACACTTGGTTACATTGTCGGAGGCAACTTGTCAATCGACAAATCCATTGTAATAATATACAATGATTCTTTGATATCAACAGTTTTTGAGTGCAATAAAGCCAAGACGTGCAGACAGATATCATACACGAGATAGTAAAGCTTTATCAAGACTAAGTAAATATTATATGTGTTCACAGTATATTTCAACATGCTACATACGGTAGAAAACAACAATCGGATTATAGAATTGACAGCATTTTATTGCTAGAGAGAGTTTGAGGTGTGTAGCTCTCAGCGAAATGAAAGCTCTACAGCGCACTGTTACATGAAAATCGCATTGAATTTCAATAATATTTGACTATGCATTATGTATGGAAAAGTAATGTGATTATACGTTTGGCTGTGGAGAAGGCTTATCGCTTTATATGCGCTGGTTTTCATAAGAGGCTATTCCACTGAGAGGCTACGTTGCTCACAACCTGTAATTCCACTAGATTATTGATTGAAGTAAGGCTTCTCTTTCCGTCGTGATTTTATTACCCGGGCAAATATTTGCGCCGCTTTATAGTTGTCCTGAACACGCAGCGTAGGTGTGGTCTTCGGAATCGACGCTGTCTGTCAACACGACAGGGCTATGTCCACGGGTTCTTTCTTTTTGCTTTTCTGCCGGAACATATTGGATCAGAATGTCAATGTAATACTACCCATACACGAGGCAAGATACTTAATGGGATTGGGAGTATGAAAGTCATCGAGTGGGAGAGAGATACGGCGACGATGAGACCTCCATTATTTTTGCGGTCAGGCAGATGTGCTCGTTGTAATGTTTGCCGACCGGTGCGTCCCCGGCTGGGTCCCTCATTGCCCGGGTAAATCTCTGTAATCCAGATATGCCTTCATGGCAAAATTCAAGCTTATCAGGCCGACTAAGGAATTTAGGTGCGTGACAGCCAGAATAGAGCTGAAGCAGAGGTCGGAGCGGGGTTATTGATATTAGGGAAAGGGAGACATCATGAAATGAATAAGACATCTGTTCTAGCGAGCGACTCCTACGACAATGGCCACTGTGACGATTACGATTCTGTGAGAGGCATGGAGTTTGACACACGCCCTTATAGCTCTTTAGCTAATGCCGGGACTATTCCATTATGTCGTATTCAGGCCGCGGGAATTTCATTCTGAATAGAACATTATAGGTGTATTGGTGACACAATGCCTCAAACTGCACTCACATTCAGCAACAATCCTAAAAAAAGACTATTTAATTACCAGGCGTCTCTAACCGCAGGTGTCGAGACAATGGCTCAAGTGATTCTTGGTCTTCATCCTCAACGGACCGTCCAGATGTTTGAAATGCCTGCGGCTGCTCACGATTGATTCCGCTTCCATCATTATCTCCACGGCGACAAGCTCCGCTGCTATGATAGGAACATCATCATAATGTGTCCGTGATGGTGGTCTGTGATCGAATGCCTCTCGCGTCTCCTGTCCTCCACGGCTCATTCCCGCTACGCCCCGAGGCCGTGGGCCCGGTTCCTTTTGACCCTCTCTCTCCTGCAGGGGGGTCCGGTTCTGGGAGACGCCGGCAGGGTTCGTTGGTCCCGTGTGACGTGATCATCACCAAACACCGTAGGCTGTTCAGCTAGCCAAATATTTTTAGGAAAGAAGAGTCAATTTTCAACCAGAAATGTAATAGTTATTAGTGGTGTAGAAACGATACAATATTACACCCGGTCAGACACGTGTTAGTTTCAAGGACACCAATTTTGGTTGTTACTAAGGTAAACAAAGGACCTGCATCATTGATGATACAAACCTGTCTTATAACCCAAGGGAACGTTAACAGATGTAGTGTCTGTTGTTTTGAATAGGGGGTGTTTTTTAATAATGGGGTGCTATTGGCATTTTCAACCTTTTCATCCGTGTCGTAGTGTATCCGCTTTTCTTGGAAAATAAATACGGTCGTTGTGCTTTTCAATTGAATAGAAATCTACCATATTTACCGCAGTCTGTGGATTTGAGTCTTAAACGTGAACACAATCACTGGCCGGGTAGTCAGTAGAAGACAAAGGACTGAGGGTCATTGAAGAAGAGAAGAAAATGTACAACTAGGCAAGAAGAGGACAATGCATGATTGAATAGATCGGTAGTAGGTACTCGGTTATGTGAGTGATTCAGTCTCCGTGAACCTGATACTCAGTCAGCAGCACCGGCCTGGAGATTAATGCTCTGCATTTACTGTAAACATTAACAGTTTGCCTTTCTAAAACAACACACTGCGTATGTGTGTATACGTTTGTGTGTGTGTGCGTGCGCGCGCGTGTGCGGGTATTGTATATGCACGCAAGTGTCTCATGCGCGTTGCATTGTCCCTGTCAGTTATACATCCTCATTGTTCAGCTGCCAAATCTCTCGGTGCTTCTTCCTGTGTGCCTGTGAATGGTTCACTGTAAACCACAAGCACACAGACACGCTGCTTCCCTGTAATCTCTTCATTCCAACGCCGTCATCATATTGTACCATTTACAAAGCTTTTTGCTTAAGATTTTTATCTGTTCTTTAGGGTTTTTTCTTTAGGGTGTCGATGATGTATGGGGTACAGTTGACACGCGAGATGCTTTTTTATTTGTTATTTGTTATCCCTTCGTTCCAGGCTAAACCAGTAGGTATATAGATTTTGTGATGAATGCCACAGTTTCTGAGTTGGAGAAGCTCTTACAGTGGCACTTCGCACTGACCAAACCTCGCTTGTCAGCTGCTGTCCCCTAAACCATCTCGCATTTGGAGAAATATCTTTGCTCAATCATTTTGCCGTTGCTACAAGCGTTGAGGTACTGCATAATTTATCAGGTTTTAATGTCATAAAACAGCTTGGGTCCCTGCGGGGGGTGCTGGGCTGTAATTGGGCTCCTTTTTATCCTCGCCTGGCACTTTTAAAGACAGGCTTTTATGTCAAAACTGTCCTTCTTGCGGTTTGGGGGTAGTGTATGTGAAGTGTTGGGTTGAAGCTGCGCTGTGGCAAGAGAGACATCTCTCTTCTAGGAGAGGACTGCCTGCTCCTCGTCCATCTACCTGGTTTCTGCTCCTCGTCCATCTACCTGGTACCTGCTCCTCGTCCATCTACCTGGTACCAGCTCCTCGTCCATCTACCTGGTGCCTGCTCCTCGTCCTACCTGGTACCTGCTCCTCGTCCATCTACCTGGTGCCTGCTCCTCGTCCTACCTGGTACCTGCTCCTCGTCCATCTACCTGGTGCCTGCTCCTCGTCCTACCTGGTACCTGCTCCTCGTCCATCTACCTGGTGCCTGCTCCTCGTCCATCTACCTGGGGAAGCTGCTGCTTCTCCGACGCTCTACGCAGCTCGTCTTGGTGCAAAGGGAAACTCCCATGATGACACAGCAAAGGAGATGGAATAAGACGTGCTGCCAATTTTTTGCCCTGAATCCTCCAGGCACATCTGTGTGTGTGTGTGTGTATCTGGGTCTAATAAAGAAGTCATGGGTGTGTGAATAGATTAGTCATCGATCAAGGGGCTATCACAGAGAGACCGTCAGACCAAGGTCAACCGTGCATTGTCCTCAT